TTTTTTTTTTCATGTCTTACACTGACCGCATCTCCCTTCACCCACGTTTCTGTTGTTGTCCTGGGAAGGGATGAGACTTTTGTGTTTTGTATTTGGCTTATTTCACTCAACATTGACTGATACACATCCACGGTAGTGTGTTCGTTCTGCTCCTGTGCAATATTTCATTGTGCTACAGTGAAATTGCTACCATTGCTTCCTTCTTCCTACTGGTGATGGGTATTTTGCATATTTCACAGTGTTGCTTTGAATAGTCTTGCCGATGTGTTTTGGTGCATGTATGTATATGTACATGTTTCTGCTGGGTCTCTTCCTCGACATGGCATTGCAGGGTCTGTACAGGTTATATGCAGCTTTAGCAGACACTGCTGGACAGCTTCCCAAAGAAAAGTAGGTCTGCCCTTGAGTCCCAGTTACTCCACAGCCTCACCAGCACTTGGTATCATCAGTTTTGTTTGGCTTTGTCCTTGGTCACCTCTGGTGGTTACCCAGCTGTGTTTTTGATTTGCATTTCCTTTTGTGTAATAAATCTGGGAGTCTTTGCATGTGCTTACTTGCTATTTGAATACCCACCTCCCACCCCCACCCCATTCAGATTTTGTCCTTTTTAAAAGTTAAGTCGTCTGCCCTTTTTAAATTCAGTTTTAACTTAAATTTATCTTGTTGTGGAGAATATATAAAGGTCCTTCAAGATGTCATGGGAAATTTCCATTATCTTTCAATTCTGGATTTCACGAACTTTTTAAAGCCCTGTCATGCACAGCAGCACATACACTAACCAATTCAATAGTTTCCCCATAAACTTTTAGTGGTGACATGGATTGCATTCGTGGATTCACCCTCTTTTTAAAAAGTTGTTCCTCCCTTATTACCATAGATTCTCTTTCCCGGCTCCATGTCTCCCATCTCATCTTTCAAGTTGTTATTGACAATTTGATTCAATACAATGTTTAAAACAGCATAAAAGACCCCTTTTATTAGTTAAGCTAAACTGCCGTATGGTTCCATCTCAAGATGACTGTAGGGAATATTTTTGATTTACACTTTAAAGATGATCTCAGGACCTTCGTTTTGGGGTTCGTCCTTGCTTCCTGGCTCCAGAAAGTCGAGAGCCCTTGAGAATTTTCAGTTCTGTTCTACATCCCTCCCCCACTTTTTGATTAGGAATTCTGTTGAATTCTATGGATTCTCAGATCACAATGCTTTGGAACAGTCATTCAGTTCTTCTGTCTCCCGGCAAAGGAGGTAGCTGTTCACAGAGGCAATTAACCACACCTTCATCTTCCTTCCCCACTCCTTCCTCCTCTGTTGCTGTAAGTGAATTGAGACCAATTGTGTCTTTGTCAGCTGCTTGCAAGCTGTAAAGACTCTGTGTTCCACAACAAACCAGAAGGGTCCTTTTTCTTACTGACTTTAAAGAGTTTAAAAATATATTTTGGACAAAATCTGTGTTGATTGTATCTTTTCTGAATGGCAACTTGCCTTTTTATTCTCTTTTTAAAGTGCTTTTGTTTATTTTTATTCTCTTAATGGTGTCTTTTGAACAGATACTACTTAATTTCAATGAAGTAAAAATTTAGTCATCTTTTTCTGTATAGTTAGGAACCTTGGTTAAGAACTTTGTTTATCTCCAGGTCAGGAAGCTATTCTCTGGTTTATTATCTTATAGACGCTTTATTATTTTGTCTCATATTTAAGTCTGCAGTTCATCTGGAATTGAATGTTACGTGAGGTCGAGGTCAGAGTCCATTTTTGTCCCCCTGTGGGTTACAATGGACCCCGCGACATTCATCCCAGACAAAACCCGCCTTGATTTGCTGCCTGGCAATGATGTGACTGTTCAATCCAGTCGTTGCACACTGGTTTCTGGACTTCGTGGAATTCTGGCGACCTCGTAACAATCACTGTATGTGACTTGAAATAAATGCCTGAAGGAACTAGGGATTTGGGAAAATCCATCTTTAAATGGAGTGTATGAGTACATGCCTGACACACCCATGCGCATATTTGTCAAAGGGGGTGTGTGTCTGTGTGTTCTTGTGTATAGATACAGTCCTCTAAATATCGTCTTAGTGTCTGGCCACCAGACTGATTTCTTCTTCTGTGTGCGTGCAAGTAGATGTGAGCGGGCATAATTACGTCGTGTATCCAACAATCTTAGCAGCCTCTGTCTGTGTGGATGAGTTTTTATTTACCTCGGTACCATCCATCCGTGTAGATTTTTCCTTTGCTTGATTCAGTACCCAGGGCAAGAGTCCATTTTATTCTACTGGGAAAGTAGGTAATAAGATCACGTCCCTTGCTTACGTTTTAGTTGTAGACGTAGGAACCAAATCATAGATGCGCAGACACTAAGTCCCCCATTAGATATGTAGATCTGAGGCTTTGAGAGAAGAAACACTCTCCCTAAGGTCACAGTGAGGTTAGACCAGTCTCTGGATTTACATAACAGCTCTTTCTTGCGTCCCAAATTGCCTTCTATGCGATTTAGGGACCAAAAGAAGTTGTAGACCAGCATCGTTGACAGAAAGACTAATCTTTGACTCAGAGACACCAATAAGGCAGTTCTTGGGCCTTGAGCTGCTGTACTGAGACAAGTGCACTGCTGGGATGGCCAGGCCAGGAGATGCTCCGAGCTGCCGGAGGAGGCCCTGGAGCGGTCCAGTTTCAGACAGACCTGTTTGTGTGGGGGCTGGAGACCACCACTGACCAGCCCCTGGGTCAGCTGGCTCACTGCCGCTGGGGATGCTGGGAGTTTTGGTTTTGCCAGGTTTCGGGGAGAGGAAGGGGACCTCAGGGAAATCAGGTGAGGGCTCTGCCTGAGGCTAAAAGGCCTGGGAGACTTCCTTTCCGGGTGAGGAAATGGCATGAGAAAGTTCAAGTCCAGAGGCATTTGAGGAAAGTGTGATGTGAACAGGACGTAAGGAAGGGGCGTGCAAAGAGAGGCCTGCAGTCAGGCAGGGGATCGTCAGGGCTTCAAGCCCATGAAAGCAGTGTAGGCATTTGGATTCCATGTGGGGGGACCGATTGTAATATATGAGGGAGCTTCAAGAAGGGAAAGCACAGCATGGATTATAAAACCAGCAGTATGCTGAAATGAGGACCAATCAGGATGCAAGAAGAAGGGCCAATGGGAAAGCAGGAGAGCGGCTGAAGCGAGCCCATGAGGGCCTGCCACCCAACCCAGTCAAATCCAGGCCATACCCCTAGATGACGTCATCTTTCTCAAATCATGAGGTGACTCGTGATTGAAGCGTACTTGCTTATTAAATCTTTGTTGAAATTGAAAGATAATGGATCCCCCCCCCCACACCCCCATAGTTGTTGAAGCCACCTGGTACAGTCAGGCTTCTGTTTTTAAAATCCAGCCAGGTGCAGGGGGAGGAGTGGAATGAAGGCGGACGAGTGGGGCAGGAAGACCAGTGGGGAATTGTTGCTGTAAACGAAGGAGACGTGCTGGGGGCTTCGTGTGATGGGGGCTTGGTGAGACCACAGGGTGGTAGTGATCAAAGTGAGGAAAAGCTATGTCTATTTGAAAGTACAAAGGACTTGGTGACAAGTGGAAGGTGATGGTAAGGCAGAGGGAAGAGCTCAGGACAATGTCCGGGTTGCTTCCTACGGCAATGGGGAGGACTGGAAACGGGGCAGGCTAATATAGAATTGGAATTCCATCTGAAGAACCTGTTGGACCCGAACTGGGAGTTAACCCATGACCACAGCTCTTCCCACCCTGTTGTTTTGGCAGGAATGCTCCAAAATGGGAAGAAATTTGATTCATCCAGAGACAGAAACAAACCTTTCAAGTTCAGAATTGGCAAACAAGAAGTTATCAAGGGCTTTGAAGAGGGTGCGGCCCAGGTAGGAGGCGGAGTCTCCGTCAAGGGGCTCCCTGGAGTCTGGTCTCAGGGCTCTGCCTCTAGCCCTCACCCTGTTACAGACCTCTAGCGAGCTGTCCTGGTTTTGCGTCCCCACTCCTTTCCCTGCCAGCCTGCCTGCCTGCCTGTGTGTCACTTGGGGCTCTCAGGACAAACTTATCCCCCAGGCTTGCTGGGAAGTAACGGAGGAGCCTGTGTGCTCCCAGCCGTGCAGGACTGAGGTGGCAGAAGGGCTGGGTGCGGGGAGGCCCAGGAAGTTTTGTTTTCTTTTGGAACAATTTCAGACCTGTCAAAACAGTACGGAGCTTTTCACCCAGCGCCCCCAAATGCTGATAGCTTATGCAGCTGTAGTACAGTGATCAAAACCAAGTAATCACCAGTGAGACAACCCTCTGAACTACTCAGATACAACATTTGGCCCAAGTGGGTTCCTGCTAACTGCACATTCCTGGTGCACGTTCTTTCTTGGTCGGCCCTCTGGGGCCATACGTCACCCCATTTGAGGAGGCCTCTGGCTCCTCCCACCCTATGGTGGCTTCTGCCATCTCCCCTCTCGGGTGGTTTGCTCGGGTGCCAGTGTGTCCTCTTAGGCACCCTCTTCAGGATTCTTGGGAAGAGGGTGAAGGACGACCATGAGCACTTAGGACTGTCTGGGCTATAGACTAATTGTGTGGCCAACAGTTCCTCAGGGGAATGCATTCTGAGATGGATTTATGGACGACTTTGTCCCTAGTCAAGTCTCCACTCTTGTCCGGCAGAACCAAGGTCTTTGCTGCAGACCTTAGTCACCTTAACGAGTTACCTATCTGGACAATGAACCTGAGAGCTGCCCAGTTACCAGGAGGCTGGTTTGAGACAATGCCACAGTTATCTTGCTTTTTTCTTTTAAATCAAGCTGGGTCCTCTTTCTCCTCTCCCCTCCCTGCTAGATGAGCTTGGGGCAGAGGGCGAAGCTGACCTGCACCCCTGATGTGGCGTATGGAACCACGGGCCACCCTGGTGTCATCCCTCCCAATGCCACCCTCATCTTTGACGTGGAGCTGCTCAACTTGGAGTGAAGGCAGGAGGGGACTCACTGGGGCTGGAGGTGGCTGCTGCCCCCCTCTTAGCCCTGCTCCGCCACTGGGATGGCTCCTCCTGTGCGGGGCTCTTGATCAGTGTGCTAATAACCTCACAGCCCCACGACACTCTCCAGCCTCTCGGCCCACGCTGCTCTGTATGTGTGTATGTCATGGTCCCCGCGCATCTTCGCTTGAGGAAACTTCAGTTGCCATTCGACCCGTGTCAGGTTGTGCATGCAGTCGCCACGCCTGGTCGCAGAACCCCGATTCCTTGTTCGCACAATCGACACTGCCTTAACCTTACCTTCAGCCAGACACGCAAGGTGCTCAGCCACGGAATGAACGTGCTGTACACAGAGGGACTTGAGCCAGTCACCTTTGTTGTCACGTGTCTGTTCTGTCCGCTGCTAACTTCGACAGATATTCTATTTGGAAATAGTATGTAAAATAAAGGCTACGTGCTGCCCAAATACTTGTCCGTTCTTGTTATAAATTGGAAGTGCTCTAAGGACCGCACAAGCTAGTCACCTTTGGAGAACAAAACCATCACAAGCCCACAGCCATTGAGTTGATGCTGACTCATAGCCGACCCTAAAAGACAGGGTAGAACTGCCCCTGTGGGATTCTGAGACTCTTTACGGGAGGAGAAAGCCTGTCTTCCTCCCAAGGAGTGGCTGGTGGTTTTGAACGGTGGACCTTGTGGTTAGCAGCCCAACACGTAACCACTCTACCACTAGGGCTCCTTTTGGGGAAACAAAGGCATTTAAAAAAAAGAAGAAATGTCCAAGCTTGCCAGGAGAGTGACCATAAGCCTCAGAGGTACAGCGTGAGCACGGCACATGCTGGACCTAAGTATTCAGATAGGTTTCATATCAGCGGTTCTCAACCTGTGGGTTAAGACCCCCTTGGGGGTCACCCGACCCTTTCACAGGGGTCTCCTCATTCCCAACAGTAGCAAAATGACAGTGATGAACTAGCAACGAAGATAATTTGATGGTTGGGGGGTCACCACCACATGAGGAACTGTATGAAAGGGTCGCAGCGTTAGGAAGGTGGAGAACCCCTGCTTTAAATGAATGCTCATCAACCTCGAGGCAATCCTACACGGTAGGTATTAATGTCTTCCAGTCATCTCAGAGGCCCAGGAGTCCCCTCTGCACAATGAACGGCTTGTGTTGTGTTCAAATCCTGCAGGGCAGCAACCATTGGAGAATGTGAGCGCTCTCTGAGCACAATCTCTCTCTCTCTGGCCTTGGAGCAAGTGGGATGCACACCCCTCATCCGGATGAAAACAACATTGTGTGCATCTGAAAAAACGGGGGAAGTTGTGCCACACACTCACTCACACCCAGGAGTTCCTTGGAAGAGAACGTAATCCTGCCCCTGTCTCACACACTGCCTAGTTGCATCTGGATTTGCTCTATCTCACCGTGAGACGTTTCTGAGACGCATGTATGAGTCTAAACTTGCCTTCTCATCTATGGCGGCTTTTCATGCACATAGATGCTGACCTCACTGGAGTCCCTGGTTGGGTTTTTACAAGCTGCTCACTTCGTGGCTGGGTTGGGTGGGAGGCAGGGTGAATGGGACGGAACCTTTAACTGGCTGGCATGGGCCGGGAAGAGCTCTTGACCTGACTCGGTGTTGTTCTGTCAGTGGGGACTCGGAAGTGTTTCAGGACACTGCGCGTGATGTTCCGTGTGTGACCTGGGCAGTGTCATTCAGGCAACTGCATCTCCCTCTCATCACAGAAGCCCTTGTCCACTCCGCTGAGAGGGGAGCGCCTCAGGAAAAGGCGGTGCTTTAGGATGAGAAAAGGAAGGAAGAAAGAGGCTGACTTATTTTACTCACCCACAGTCCCTCTGCTCAACCGGGACGAGAGCCCACGCGGTCACAGGAGGGTGCCGCACCCACGCTGCGGAGGGTTTGCATTCAGGCCATTCTGGGTCCCAGCTTTCCATGATGACCCAAATGCCGGTGGTTTCTCAGAACCCAGGGTGAGTAACAGGTGTCTGGTGTTTTCTGCCACGGCTACAGTGGAGTAACTAGAACTGGCAGCCGGGACCACTTCAGATGCCGCTCTAGGTTCGTGTCAAAGATCGTGGGTTAGAGTTTTCATAGCCCCGGTCAGGGCTGCTTACACTTTTGCTATTTGTGACCTGTTTGCTAAGAAATTTGCAACAGGTGCAAGCGCAGCCAGTAACACCTGGGGTTCATTATGCATTTGATTGTGAATTAATCTTTGGTGGCTGTGTGTTCAGAAACCTTTCAAAGTTGCCAAAGTTTATGGGATCCTGACGCACAGTTTCAGAAACTTTAGTTTCTTAAAGTGGTCGATAGACACTGCCTAAAAGAATCCCCCAAATGCCAATACACATTCGGTCCATTTAAATCATTCCGGGCATGCATGCCCCCTTCAAATGGGTTTTGGATTATCCTTGTATGCAAAACAACTGGTATATGTGTTCCCAATTTGTACATGCTAACACCATGTCCCTACTTGTGTGTCACTGTCATACTGTGGTGGGTTTCATGTTGGCAATGACATGCTGCAAGTGTATTAATCAGTGGTATTTCAAATACCAGCAGAGTCACCCAAGTTGACAGTTTCCAGGGGAGCTTCCAGACTCAGAACAGACTACAAAGAAGGAACAGACTACTTAGGTCTGAGGAACTGGCCACTGAAAACCTATGATAGCAGTGGAGTGCTGTCAGGTATAGTGCCAGAAGATAAGCCCCTCATTTGGTGGCCCTCAAAATACCTTTAGGGAAAAGCTGTCTCCTCAATCATATTGACGTGGATGGAGAAAAGCTTCCAGGACTTTAATTTGCTGATGGGGTAGGACTCAAAATGAGGAGAAACAGCTACACACATCAATTAACAACCAGAAAGGGGAATGTGCAAACTATGAATCTAGGAAAATTGGGAGTCCTCAAAAATGAAATGCAGGGAGGAGAGGAGCCAGTCAGGGT